ATAACAATTCTCTAATACCACATAACAACTTGTGTGTGTCAAGTTTCTAATCATTTCATCAGACTTGTTTTTAAAGTTGTTTGAATATGATTGAGTAATGCCATACACTGCAATGGGTTGTTCCTTTTTTATACGTTTCTTTTAGTCTATGCATAGCCTTGGCATCTCTCTGTTCCTGGTATTATTGGGAGAAACTGGCTTGTTGGTACTTGTGCTGCAGGGGTTCTCACAGCCTGGAATTTGACATGCTCCTCATTCTTACACAGTGGAATCTGTTCTTATTCTCCTTCCTTTATTTTATTTTTACTTCTCCTCCTCGTCCTCTTCCTTCCTTTATTAAGTCACAGGAGTTAATTCTAGCTCTTATTGTATTGGCTGATTAAATTTTGCCAAGATTTTGCCATTTTATGGCTTTCAGACTTTTATTCACAGAACTTTTTATTTCCCTCCAATGCCATATTGTGGGGAAATAACCTTCTAATTTAACTGTTTCTCATCATGGTCCTTTTCTTCTGAAGGTACTAGCTTTCCAATGCCCAATTTAAAATGTGCTACTAGAACTAAAAATGAAATTTTTTATGTGGCCTATTGTTTTCCTTTATCAAAAGAATGGAGAACATACCAAGAAGTGATTGGGGCTTAAACCCAAGGCTTTCATAGGGTAAACATAGATATGGTATTTGGATCTGTTATGGTTTGGATGTGAGATGTCCCCCAAAAGCTCACATGTGAAACAATGCAAAAAGGTTCAGAGGAGAAATGATTGGGCTGTGAGGGTCTTACCTGATTAGTGATTTAATCCCCTGATAGGGATAAGGATTAACTGAGTGGTAATTGAAGTGGTAGTGTGGCTGGAGAGAATGGTAATTAGGGCATGGCTTTGGTTTATATATTTGTATCTGGAAAGTGGAGTCTCTCGTCACCCTGATGTGAGCTGTTCTCCTCTGCCAAACTCTCCTGCCATGATTTTAGACTCACCTGGAGACCTGAAAAATGGAGCCAGCCTTCTCTGGACTAAGACCTCCAAAACCATGAGCCTCTGAATAAATTTTTCCTCCTCTATAATTGTTCTGGTCAGATCCTTTAGTCACAGCATTGAATAAGCTGACTAAAACAGGATCTCCACTTAATTTCAGCATCTGTTGTTCTAAGTGCTATAACTTGTATGCTTAGTTGTTAAGTAGTCTTGCTGTGGAATCTTGGTCTTTCTTCTTGAAAGCAATGATGGGGTTTTGGGGATGCAGAGTCTCTAGAAGCAGTGCAGTATGCAAAATAAATAAACAACTTTGCTCTAAATTTTGAATATGAAATCCTCTTACAGATTTGATTGTTTCAGAAGCAGTGAAATGAGTTTTAGCTAATAATAAGGAAAGAATTCCATATATAAGTGCATTGACCTGCTTTTGAACTCTGAGTTTATACAACAGCTTAGAAGTTAGAAGTACAACATATGTTCTTCTTTTAAATAGTTTCTTTTATCCAAATGTTCTAGAAAATGCCAAGTTATTTATATAGAAGATCATCAACTTGAGTCCATTATATAAAAATTTGTCTTTCTTTATTTGAGAAGTTCTTATACCCAGAGAACACAATTATATAAATATTATTGCAAAGTCTACTACGACTGTATATTAGTTAATAGACAATTTGAAAATATTACATATTTTAAGAACTTTTAAAAAAAATCTTTGCCATTTTTTCAAACAAGCTATTGAGTAAATTTTGCTTTACTACAAAATAAGTATTTAAAAGGCATTTTTCACAGTAATATATACTGTCAAATATATGCTACAATGCGAGACACATCTAGCCATGAGGCTGTAAGTCTGCATGAACCTCAGAAGGGGGAGTTAACTTTGGCACTTGTCTAGGAATAACTAAGCTTCTGGAAGCAAGGTACAGGGCTATTTATAGCCCTAAACCTGAGTGCTATTTGAGTCTAATCCAGTCTGGGGCCTGGTTTAGCCTACTAAGTGTACCATGGGCCTGATATAGCCATCCAACAGCCATTGAAATGATACTAACCTTAGTAAATGTCTCTCACAATGAGAGGACATCTTCAACCTAACTCTGCAGTCAGACATGGATGTGAACCTGCATTACACCATATGTAGCTGTGTGAATTCAGGCACATTTCTTAACCTCTTTAAACCCCAGCTTCCTATTCTATAAATAGCCATACTAAGAGCATTTCAATTGGTTGCTATGAGGGTTGAATGACCATGTAACAAACTTAATACAGTGTTGAACATCTTATGTCTTCCAAATAAATGACCATTGCTTTTATTATTGCCATTGATGGTTGTCTTTATTAATTTAATTATCTTTATTAATTTATCCTGGCCAGAACCAAAGGTGTTATTTCTCTAATATCCTCTGAGGTTCAACTTTGTGTTAGTTCTCATTTTCCTGTTGCTTTGTATCTGAAACGCAATTCTATATTCCCTTTCTTTTATCAGATGAAATAATACAACTTAGAACATGCAGTAGAAATCTATGTGAAGAACTCAATAAAGTCTACACCATTTACTACAGTTTAATAAGCACTGGGATAAGCCACAGCAGACATGGATTTTGTCCTCAGACCTCCCCTAACTACTGTGGAAGAGAGGTTGGATTGATGTGACCTGCACTCCTCATCAGTGAAATTGAGGACATTGGGCTTCAGCTCTCTAAGATGCTTCTCTAGCTCCATACTTCCTTCAGTGTTTGGTTTCTTGGGGATAAGTGAATGGAAAGGGTAATGAGTAGTTGACATAGGGCTTCTAATGTAGTGCAAAAGTGGTTGTGACAGAAGTGTAGCAGATGAGAGAAGAATATTCCAGGCTGAAGGAATAATGGCCTGTACCAAAATTCAGTACAAAAGCATACCTATTATAAAACACTGGAAAGGGGGTACTATACCTATGGCCAAAAAAAAAAAAAAAGTTGGAATTACAAAGACAAAATGAAAAGTACATAATAGAGCAGCAGGCCAAACTCTTTGAATAGCCACAGAGAATTACTGTGGTACCAACCTTAAAATGCTAAGTTCACTGAGTTGGCAATCTAATTTTCATTTGAGAAATATAGTTAATAAATCATTCCAGAAAAGGAATAACTGCATCACTGAGGTTCAGATGACATTGATCCTATGAACTGTGAAAACTAGGGAGTGGGAAATGTCCATCACCCAGAAATTAGAGGTTGCTTTTGCTTCTTAAATTTATTACATTCAATTATTTTGTGGGTCACTACAAAAGGCCTTCTTTGACCCCTTTAACACCCACAGGAGAAAAAAAAAAGAAACAAAAGTTTAATTTCATATTTAGGCATTTTCCCATAAAATGTCTCATGAATCAGGTGCAAAGGACCATAACCCAAAAACACACCAGAAATGGTTCAGCCAGCTGACCTCCTGAATTACCTGGCAATACACACCCAAATGGAGGTGGGGACACATACTCATAGGCATCTTAATAACTTGTGCAGGGCTAAGCAAGAAACGTTTTTAGACATCCTTCTTTAAGACAAACTAATGGCCACATGACACAGAATATCTCAGGAACAGGAAAAAATACTATTTATATTTAGTTAGCAAATTCTTAACTAAAATTGGTAATCCGTAAACCTGATATCCTCCTACAGAAAGAAAACAGAAATTAGTGTTAAGGAACCTAACTTCAAATCTTGGCTAAGCTGTGGTCATGAGCAAGTCACAGACTTCAGAGTTAGTTTCAATCTGCAAAACAGGGTAATAATGCTACTTAATTGAATGAAATGGGCCTTAAATAAACAAATACATGAAATTCTGAATGAAACATATAGTACATAGAAAGCTCTCAGTAATTGTTATTAATTTAGGTGCCAGAATGACTTCTCCACGGAAAAATTGAGTAAGGTGATTGTTATAAATATTGACTGAAAATCTCCAACAGGAATTACTGTGTGTCTACATTAATGTCCACCCCCAAATACCAAAACCACATATTCTGTTTTTCACTTGTCTGATTAAAAAGGAACCAGCACAGCATTCAACTGGGAAGTTGTCAAAAGCACCACCTGTCTTGTTTTCTTACAGCTGTCAAAAGCAGATTTTAGATCCACCTCTCAAATTTTTACCCCAACTACAACCAAACTGTGTCTGTATTCAAAATGCTTTACTTTTAAGAATCCCTTTAAAGTAAGATAGAAAAAGAAGTGTGTTTGTGTGTGTGTGTGTGTGTGTGTGTGTGTGTGTTGCTGCCATGGCAAAATAATAACAACTATGTTTTAGGTATATATAACATCTAATATTCTAGGATACACATTGAAAAAAATTGTTTTAATCTTAAGATAGAATTCACCATTCGAAGTGAAAGAAAAATTAGTTTAGGAAAACAATTAGAAGTCTAACACTTAATTGCTTTATTTTTAAAGTCGGATTGATTTCTAGTGTGTTTGTGAAATTTCCAATTTTGTGTTCCCATCTACAGAAAAATAGATACAATTTTTTTAGAGCCTTTGTACCTTAATCACAGAAATTTCATCTTTGTGTGTGTATTTATATATGCTGGTTGGAATCAAAAAACAAATATAAGGTTTCCATTTTTAAATACCATAAAGCAAAAATGCTCAAAATCATCTGTCTACATTTAAACATTAAATATAATATTTTAAGTTTATCACGGTCTCCATCCTTGCAAAGCTTCTAATTTTTGCTAGATGAGAGATCAGCCATGATGTTACATGACCATAGCTATTTATAGAGGTGTAGATGACAACTGTTAACTTGTGGGGCTTTTGGTGTAGCAGAGAACAGTTTCCACATGCAAAATTTCAGAGAAATCTTTTCTCCTTCCCCCAACGCACATATCTGGCAGCTTCTCACCTTGAATCCACTTCCCAGATCTTGTATAAAATCACTGAACAAGATAATTACCTAAAAGCAACATTTTAAATGGACATACTGATGGTCTCTTTGACTGTCAATTTATACCACGTCCCCCCTATGAGATTCTATTGGAAGATGGTAGCAATACCTTCAGCAGTGATCTCAGTCATGGTGGTCAGGTAAAGTGAATCAGGTGGAAGGTCTGTCAAGAGGTTCTTTGCAGAGTACTTTACGATTGGAGAACTCTGGTAGAAGGGTCTGTGTTAAAACGTGAGGGCTCTTCGTTTTCCTGGCTGTTTCTGCTGCTGATTTGTTGTCCTGTTGAACTTTGCCTCTTCTCTGCAGAGTTCTCCCCCTGGAAACAACCTAAGCCCTTTCCAAAGCAGCACTTGTGGCTCAGCTAGGAGTATCAGCTTTGAACAAAAATAGCTTCATCTCCCTATGACTCTTCAGCACTTTTTTTTCCCCCCCTTTTGGCACTCTAGAGGAACACACACACACACACGCTCTCAAGCCCCAGAGATAGGCCAAAAAAAAAAAAAAAAAAAAAACAAAGAACTAAAAAGTATTGTCTAAGCCCCCGCAGTTTCTCTAAGATAATTACAGATCTTGGGGGTCTGTGTCAGAAAACATGAAATAAAGAGTTGAAAGTAATCTTATCCATGATTGCTCAGATTTATTCTTAGTATCCTTAATGCTCAGAACATTCTTCTCTCCCTTATTTGGTTTGGGGAGTGTCCTGTAATGTCTACCAGAGGCAAAGGGGAGGGCAATCTTAAGTAATTTTCTCAAAGTTGATTCCCTATTGGTCCAAATCTACTTAGCAGGTACAGTTACTTATATAGGGATAAACTTAAAATTCCAACAATGAAACCCTGAAGTTTTCTTCTAAAGTAGTCATGTTGTACAACATTAATAACTTCTAAACTCTGGTCAATAAAAATATATAATGTGAAGTAAATCATGTTACTTGAGAACTAGCAAAGAATTTACTCATTTTTTTTTCTTTAATACCTTACAGAAAACAAAATCTTTGAATTTACAAATGAAGGAACAGAAAGGGAAGGTGACATGAAGTTTAGAAATCCACAGATAATATTTCAGAGAAAGACTTGACTTTTCCCTAGCTCCACTTTAAAAACAAGAATCATAGGATCAGCTAACAATTAGCCAAATTGGCTGATTAGCATTTCACCTTCCCACTCCTAGACAGGTGTTAATGAGCAGAGAAATATTCAATAGTTGGTGGTTGGAAGGAGAAGGAGAATCAAAGGGCATTGATAATCATAAACTCTAACCAGTCCCTGAATAATCAAGGGTTGACTATATTATCTTTTATTTTTTTCTCACATTCAACCTAATAAATGCTTGTAGTTTCATCTTTTAACCTTAACTTGCTGCCTTTGGTTGTCAGTCTTGAATTGGTATAGCACTTCATAGCTCATAAAGCAAAACTATGTCTGTTATTTGAAAATGTGAGGCTTAGAAGAGTGCTGTGACAGCTATTTGCAAAGACAAAGACATCCTCCATGTCAGAGGCTCTGCCTTTATTTACTGCTCCAATTCCTGGCACAATAGAAAGTGCTCAGATATTAGGTATATAAATAAATTAGTAAGTACTCAAAATTGTAGATAAGACTAATGATTTAGATAAGATGTTACACCTAGGACTGGTACCAGAGGCTATTGACTATAAGTAAGGCTGATATCTACCCCAAGAGGTAAGACCTTATTGCATATACTATTTGCAGCTTAAGGGGACCACTGCAAAATGGAAACATGCAAAATCCTGACAGCAGATCCTGGAGCCCTAGTTTGGTCCGGAGGAGGTATACTAAGAGCAGAACTCTCCTCACTGTGTCCCCAAAGACATCTCCATTCAATTCTGCTCCAATGCTTCCAATTTTAAGAAAACATAGCCCCTCATATCTCCAGTCATCAGTCACTTTCATAGTCTTTCACTGTGGTTAACTGAAGGAATCATACCATGTGTAACTCATTCAGAATTTTCATGGGTCAGAGCCTAAATAAATTATCTAACTTAGAGGAAAACACTCAAGCTCAAATTGATTATTCAATAAAAAGTTAAAATGTGACTATAGAGTAAGAATACTAAATTCCTAGTGACTGGTGTAACTTTTAAGTTTGCAATCACTAATTTCACATTATACACATAAGAGTGAAAAAAGAGGAGAAAAATAATTCTAGCCAATACAGGATAATAATTTCTTCTAAATCCATCCATGAGATTATTTGATTAAACATATTAGACATTGAGAAATTAGTGTATTTCTTATTCTGAAAAGATATTAAAACTCTCTCAAATTATTCAAAACCTAATTGGTGAGGCAATATCTTTGGGTTCCAGATAGAATTCTGCAAAGCTTTCCAAAACCAAGTAACTAACATTCTTCCAAGTGTATATACCTTTTTATAGGCAACTCAAAGAATAAGACACCACAAACCTTGCTTTTGCCTTTCTTTATTATTAAAATATGTCCATTCCAGAGAGTTATTACTAGTTCACTGAGCTCTTCCAGTGTGACCCAGAAGTGAAAATTTCCTCTTCTCAGCAATGGCTTCTGATGTATTCTCTCAATTGCTATTTCTGTACCATCAGCACAGGTAGACTTATCAAAGTTTTGCACATAGGGACATTTGTGAAAATGGAACATTAAAAACTTACCTAGTCTATATAATTCAATAATAATCTGTCAACATTTATTCTGTTCAATGGTGCATTTAGGCCAGCCTGACTCTCCAACCTGATTATTCTAATATTACTCCTTTGTGATTTTCACTAGGTGTTCTATATACTCAAGTTAGTAGATAAAAATATCTTACCTGGAGCAATTTTTTTAACCAGCTTGCTGTTCCTTTTATTATCATAAACAAATAGTCAGTAAGAATTATACTGTATTTGGCTATAAATAAGGTTTGTTTCATTCATACTGAATTTCAAAGTTTAAAAAAGATTCAGAACATAGGCAGAGAAGGTTTGTTTAATTTTGGCTTGCACAAAATAAAATGAAAAGCCATTTTGAAGACCATATTGAATTATCTGACTGAGTTTCAATTTGTTTTGTCTCTGGAGAGATAAGAAGAGACATAATTGTGACTAAATAGCTATTTTCTGCCTGTCCCCTAATTTCTCAAGGACTGGGGATATTTGGAAGAAAGTGGAGTTTTAAGGCTATGGCTCAAAGTTTTCTGTTTCTTAGTTCACAGACACAAATGGTATATATATATATATATATATATATATATATATATATATATATATATACACATTGATAATAACTGGAAATACTGTAATTATCTCTGCTTTTTAGAGCACTTTTTTATTCCAATTTGTTATGTATGACAGCAGAATGCATTTCAATTCATATTACACATATACAGCATAATTTTTCATATCTCAGGTTGTACACAAAGTAGAGTCACACCATTCCTGTCTTCATACATGTATTTAGGGTAACTGTCCATCTCATTCCACCATCTTTCCTACCGGTGTGGCGCCTCCCTTCCTTTTCTCCCCTTTGTTCTATCTAGAGTTCATCTAATCCACCTATGCTCCCCACCCCCACCTCATTATGAATAAGCATTCTTATATCAGAGAAAACATTCAGAACTTGGTTTTTTGGGATTGACTAACATCACTTAGCATTATATTCTCCAACTCCATCCATTTACCTGCAAATTCCATGATTTTATTCTCTTTTAATGCTGAATAGCATTCCATTGTGTATATATACCACATTTTCTTATCCATTCATCAATTGAAGGGCATCTAGGTTGGTTCCACAGTTTAGCTATTGTGAATTGTGCTGCTATAAATATTGATGTGGCTGTATCCCTGTAGTATGCTGTTTTTAAGTCCTTTGGGTATCCCACCAAGTAGTGGGATAGCAGGTCAAATGATGGTTCCATTCCAAGTTTTCCATGGATTCTCCATACTGCTTTCATATTGGCTGCACCAAATTGCAGTCCCTCCAGCAATGTATGTCTTTTCCCCCACATCCTCACTAACACTTATTGTTGTTTGTATTCTTTATAGCTACCATTCTGACTGGAGTGAGATGATATCTTAGAGTAGTTTTGATTTGCATTTCTCTATTTGCTAGAAATGTTGAACATTTTTCTTTCATATTTGTTGATTGATTGCATATCATCTTCTGAGAAGTGTCTGTTCAGTTCCTTGACACATTTATTGATTGAGTTATTTGTTTTTGTTTTTGTTGTTGTTTTGTTTTTTTGGTGTTATGATTTTTTAGTTCTTTATATACCGTAGAGATTAGTGCTCTGATGTGCATGTAGTAAAAAATTGCTCCCAAAATGCAGGCTCTCTATTCAGCTCACTGATTGTTTCTTTTGCCTAGAAGAAGCTTTTTAGTTTGAATCCATACCATTTATAAATTCTTTATTTTAATTTCTGTGCTATAGGAGTCTTATTAAGGAAGTCAGGGCCTAATCACAGTACATTTGTGGGATATCAAAGTTGAATAGAAAGTGACATTTATTTGACTCTTAAGATAATAATTCGCACAACTTCTATGTGAACCCAAGTTTTCAGGTTGAATTTAATAGAATTATTTGAAAAAAGTTTGGGGAGACAGAGTGGCAGGATGTAAGAAACTTTCAATTTAAAATAAAACAAAATAAAAACCACTGTTTTAGTGCTTTGGTTGAAGTAGTTTATCAGGAGAAATATACAGAAGAGCCTTATTTTCAGCTTTGTAGTTGAAGGAAATCTACGTTTGGAAAGAATAAGTATTGGGTTTTTAAACATTAGAAGTAAGAAATAGAAGAAGATAGGAACATTGGTACATTGGAAATATACATGGGACCATTTGATTACATTTGCTTTCATGAGACCCTGAAATAAATCCTATCTTATGACATAGAAATTCATCTGAATCTTGCTCTTGATAAACTTCACCTTCAGAACCATAGGTAAAAATCATCAGTTAAACTATTAGTTCATTAATCTTACTTCATCTCAATACTTCTACTCATTTTATTTTATGTTGTTTTATGTTCTGTTTGTGTCATGGCAAACCTCATTCTGCCCTCATTACTTTCTCCAAATGGCCTGTGCTCATTTCTTTAATCAAAATTTGGAAGTCATTCCTTTGGTTTGGCTTACCATCTGATTATTTAGAAACAGTGTAATCCAGATAGTTTCAAATTTCAGAAGGCATTCTAGGGCAATTAAAAACTTTCCTTACTTTAACTCTGACTCATGAATAGCTTAGTCTCCAATATCAGGCTTCATTCCCCACACACATCTGACATTGT